CTGAATCCTGGTGTGCTTTGTGTGTTTCTAACAGATCTGTGCATTATCTCTGTAAAATTTGCAGGAGCTTTCTGTAATGCAGACCAGTCACTGCTGCTCTCTCTTCTTGTGCAGGGTAACTGGTCTGGTCTCCGCCCCCTCCTGTAGATTGCTGCAGGCAGCCTGTGGTGGGTGGAGCCTGTCGGGTCCCTCCCACAGCTCTCCTCTCTGCACAGGTTATCTACAGCACAGTGATGTGGTCACTGCTAATCTTGCAAGGTAATCACTGGGTTTGTAAATGCATTACAAATACAAAGAGGCTATGGAGGACTATATTTACATTAATTGTTTGTATGCCGAGTTCAGCTTTGATCTGCTAGAATTGTGCAGGTTTCTTATGAAAAAATTATATTTTCTGTCTTATATACGTTGGTTTACTTTGACTCTTCAACTTAAGAGTCAGGGGTCAGAGGTCATCAGAAGTCTGACAGCTGCTGCCCTGTTGATGGACTGACCATTTTCTCTGAACTCCTAAGGCAGTTGATGGGGACGGTGTGTGAGATCAGGCAGTTGATGGGGACGGTGTGTGAGATCAGGCAGTTGATGGGGACGGTGTGTGAGATCAGGCAGTTGATGGAGACGGTGTGTGAGATCAGGCAGTTGATGGGGACGGTGTGTGAGATCAGGCAGTTAATAGACCACCAACTACAAGACTTCCTTTGACTCCACACACTGAAGCTGAAGTTTCAGGCTAAAACTAAGTAAATAACGTGAGTAGGGCTGCAACAACTAATCGATTATGAGAATAGTTGGCAAATATTCTAATTATCGGTTATATGGTTGGGAGGAATGAGATAGAGAGAGAGAGATGAGAGGGGGAGAGAGAGAGAGGGGGGGAAAGAGAGGGGGGAGGGAGAGAGGGAGCTAGGGGGGAGAGCTGCAGCCCTAAACGTGAGTATAATTACACAATTATGAAAAGAATGATAAAATTTTAAAGGTCCGCCCGTTTTTTGTTTTTTTTACTAAGAACAAAATATACTTTCTCCTCTATACAACCATAGCAACAGTACTCAGTACATAGACCGGATTGCCCAGAGCCATTTGCACTGCTCCTGTACTTGGCTCAGTGTCTGTCTCACAGAATCTGCACAGACCCCGAGGGCAAAATACTGGCAGCCTGTGTCATACCACATGGCATCCTCGGCTTAGACGTTGCATGTTAGAGGCTGAGGAGGATTGTTTCCTATTACAACACCAAGCGATGTGATCATATCATTACAGTAAACACAGTTCACCTCAGTACCCACAGAACGGTCTGCCAAACATTTTACTAAATGCAATGAGATGACGGGATAAATCAACGGCAGAAACAGAAAATACCTTTACATTGTCTCATCATAGCGAAAACCACAGTTCACTAGCCAAAAATTTCCAACAGTTCTGCTCCAAGTAATCAATTTTGCTCTACAACAGGGGTGGGCAAACTCCAGCCCTCCATCTGCGGCAAAACTACATATCCCATCATGCATCTGCCTCTGGGAATCTTGCCTGTGGTCGTCAAAGTCTTGCAATGCGTCATGGGACTTATAGTTCCACAACAGCTGGAGGGCTGTAGTGTGCCTACCACTGATCTACAGGACAGCCAAAGTGCCACCTTCTGTGACAGTGTGAGGGATAACCAACAAATTAGCACCTTAAGCAATGCCAGTATACAGAACACTGACTGACAGCTCTATAGAGCAAGAGGTGCTGCAGCAGCTGCAGCTCAAAAGCCTTGCCAGATGCTAGCAACAGGTTGCTAAATAAGCCCATGCACAATAATTACAACTTTACAATAACCATTGTTCCTCATTATACATTTTGTTCTTTGAGAAATAAATCTTTATGTATTAATAAACATGGAATTACAATATTACACAATGGACTTGGTGTGCAGCAATTAGGGAGGACTTTGTCATAATTGATCATCTGGGACATTTACACGGACCAGTCCCTGGACTCTACCCAGGAGCCGTGGCTGGCTAGCCATCCCATAGTGGTCACCTGCCCCACGACTTGTAGGGAGAGTCCCTTTTTCCAAGGTTCACCCCTGGAAAAGGTTTTTGGTTTTCCGGAATGACCGCACGCTAACAAAATGCCTCTTCTCTGCTTTTGGGAATTCACTTCTCGTTTCCTGTGACAATCTGGGCTCTTCAGTGAACGTTTATTGACCACTAGATTTTCTATTGATCGAGCACTATGATTCCGGTGTAATAAACTCATCATGATTCACACACATGGTACATTGTTTGGATATTAATAAGTAAACGCCTGGCAGATTTCGGTCTACACCTCTACACTTTTCCATTCGGTATCATTACTGGTTAGATAAGGTTTACAATGCAGTTTATCCATGTTGTGCTGTGTATTGTCAACAATGATAACATTGTTATGTTGAAGGGCACGTGTCCACTTCTGTACCAACAAACACCTTTAAAGTGACAATAAAGTCAGGAGTTAAACCTAAAAAATACATTCTAGTACCTTAACTATTAACAAAAATATATCTTATTTGTGTATCACTCGGCTGTAGATCCTCAAACCATCTCTGAATTGGTGCTGACACTGTCCTTCCTTCTGGAGGGGGGCTACTTTTGTTCCCCATGCTCCCTGTGTGTGTTGGAGTGTAGTCACCGCTTCAAGCTTGCTCCCGTGATGAACTACAATCTCATGTTTTGTTTAGTCATTTGTATTGAGATTATAGTCTATCACAGGAGTGAGCTTGGAGCGGTGACTACTTTACAACACACACAGGGACCATGTGGAACAAAAGTAGCCACCCTCCAGAAGGAAGGACAGTGTCAGCACCAATTCAGAGATGATTTGAGGATCTAAAGCCGAGTGATACACAAATAAGGTACATTTTTGTTAATAGTTAAAAGGTACTTGAATGTATTTTCTAAGATTTAACTCCTGAGTGTAGTGTCACTTTAAATGTCTTTTTAGAAGTGTTTTATGATGTATCACATTGTGCATTTTTCGAGTCTTCATTACATCTAAACATGTGTTTATCAGGTGGATAGAACGCCCATGTGCAGCTCTATGCATTAGAATACACATATAAGATAGTATATACACATTCCTGAGGAAGATGCACATTCTGGATTTGCAGGTTTTTGCTAGAGACGCACAGTACAAAACCAAAGGTGAAAACACTTCATTGAACACACACTGGGGTTCATTTACTAATATAGTAGAGACAATGTACTTACTATAGTGAATGCTTCCCTTGCAGAGTGTCTGTTAGTAAATAAGATGAGCCGGTGTTCACTCTGAATACTCAATCATACACAAAATAGAAAAACATAAAATATTGCTAGAATGTGATTGAGTATAGAAAGCTTCCCCTCATTTACTGACATTCGCTTTGCAAAACAAACATCTACTCCTTTAGTGACCCTCATGATACAGAACCCTCCATGGCCTTTAAGTGAAGTCTAAACCCTCATTCGCAGCTATGTGACGTAGGAAGGAACACGTGCAACAATGTTCGGTGCGCTGCTGTGCAATTATTTCTTAAGAGCACCCCAAAGCACCTGTCTTTGCATCGCACCACAGTGCATGGTAACCTATTAGCGTGCGTTGTGGTACAACACAATTTCATAACAAGGGCCATGCATTTCTTTGGTGCAATTGAGATGCAGTAAGCTGACCATTCAAATGAATGGTCTGCCCTTCCGCGATGCACGCTTGTAGAAACGTCCTGCGACACATATGCGATGTGGCATTGCACAGGTGTGAACCCCCGGAGAAAAGGTAACTAGAGTGCAGATGTGTCAATGATCGCTGGAAAGCACAGACAAAGTCAAGTCATGTTGTAATCAGGAAATAAAGTAATTCAGCAGCACACACTTGAAGGGTTTTTAAAGCATTGATATGTTTATTCAATACCCAATGTCACATACTGTCATACGGTGCTAACGTTTCTGGCCCGCACAGGGATCCTTCATCAGAGCGACAGTGACACGATATGTTGTAATCAGGGACATCCCCGTGGGGTGTCACTCGGAGCGGCTGCCGTCTGTCACCCACCGGGGACATCATCATCACACACACGCGTGACGTCATTACAAGCATGTGTGACATCACGCACGTGACATCATCGCGCACAACCTTAATGACGTCACTCGCACTTAACTGCTGACAGCTCGCTTGAAGAACTGTCGGGCAGTCGGTCTGTGACTTTTCAGTCTTTTCAGAGGGGGTGACAGCAAAATGACTGCGAGCCCTTTTTCTGTCACCCCCTTTGAAGGTGTCACCCGGTGCGGGCCGTACCACCTGCACCCCCTTGTGAAGCCATTGGTTGGAATGATCTAAATTGGCCCTAGTATGTGTACGTACGCATGTACTCTAGGGACCTTAGATTGTAAGCTCCTTGAGGGCAGGGACTGATGTTAATGTGCACTACGTAAAGTGCTGTGTAGATTCTCGGCACTATATAAATGCCTGTAATAAATAAATGGCCAACTCCAACCTCCCCCCCTCACTTCTTGAGTGGCAGGGGTCTTCTGCTGAGATCCCCCTCAACTACCTATTAGTAGATGCTGCCGAGATCCACCCCAACTATTTGTTTATCGCACTCGCTTACTATTTATTGACTCTCTACCTCTGCTGGAAGTCTGTTCACAGAATCCACTACTCTGCGGTCTGTTGATCATCTTGGACAATCGTTGACAGTCTTTCTCCACCATTGGGGGCATGCCCCCGCTTTCAGCCTTTAATACTATGGCATTTTCCCAAAGTTGGACTATGCTGCCCTGGATACAATCCATGTGAACGTAATAGGATCGCCAAGTCTGTCTCATCTCCCAGTACGCTGCGGGAAGGGACATTTCTCCGGTAAGGTTGCTGTTACATTTGGAATAGTTCAGTAACAAAATATAAACTAGTGCTGTTCCTACTGCGCAGAATGGAAGCAGTTTCACTTTAAAAAGCAACAGAGTTCCTGGAAATGATTGCCAGCTTTGCTGACTGCGGCTTACCTGTGCACTCCATCAGTTCAGGCATGGCTGGGGCAGTGTAGGGATCACTTGCTGCCCACTGGGTGACCAGGATAGACAGCGCAGCCAGCTCCCATGTCCTGCGTTGTGCACTGCTCCCAGCAGCAGCTCAATGCTGGAAAGTCCAGACAGGAAGTTTTTCTCAGAAGCAGGCTGGACTCTTTCAGGAAATGATGAGACTGAAGCAGCAGGAGCTCCAATTAACCCTTCCAGCCCAGCAGGAGAGCCGTGCTCATCCTCCGAGACACAGGACAAGTCTGATCAGCAGCACTAGAGAGTCAGAAGTAAACCCCCCTCTTCTCATTATATATTCAGGGGGAGGGCCCTCTGAATTTACATATTCACACAGCCAGAGCACATGATGAAAGGAAACTCGTTTCATAGGAAAGGGTATTTCTCTTCCAGAGACATGATATCACCATAGTGATATTTGTCACAAGGAGTGACCTGACTTGTATCTGACTAATAAGAGGTGACATCATTTACTTATCACGGAGCCCTAAGCAGGTTTACGACGAAAAAGAGTTAAAGGTCACCCCCACCCCAAACCAATATTTTGGTTTTGTGCGGTTACTTGCAAGTCGACTCGCTATGCTGGCTTATTATGTCTCTCAGGGGCTCCGGTCACAAGATATCAGCTGAAGAATATTCACCGAGCTGCTACAGTTGTTCACCAGAGCAAACCCAAAATAAAAATGTCAGTTATCGGTGAAGTTGTTCTTTAAAGCTGAACGCTGGGGAAAAAAATACTACACTGCAAGGGTTAAATGTTTCTTAAAGCAGAATTCTGGGCAGAAATTTTATTATTCCTTGCAGTAGAGCTACCCCCAAACTTCTCAAACTCAAAAAAAAAAGGTAAACTTACCCAATCATTGGAGCCTGTCTCCTCTTCCGTTGCAGCAATGGTATGTCCCTCATTGTTTGGGTATTCTGACAGCTGCACATGAGCCGCAGTAAATAGCCAAAAGCCCATTAAGGGGGGGATCCCCCATTCATGCTGTTCAGCATGAATAAGGGAATCATGTTTTTGTTTTTGCTAGAACACTAGCGACTTAGCCACACAGCGTCATTGGCTGCTAAGACACTGGTGACCCCGTAGCATCACAAGCCTATGTCCTACCACCCAATAACGTTGTGCAGCTCAGCGACTACCCAACCAATGACGTTGTGCAGCTCAGCCACCAGTTAACCAATGACAATGTGCGGCTCACCCACTTCTCAACCAATTACGTTATGCAGCTCAGCCACCAGACAGCCAAAAACGCTGTGCAACTCAGCATCTAGTCAACCAATGACACTGTGTGGCTCAGCCATCAGCCAACCAATGATGTTGTGCAGCTCAAACACTAATCAACCAATGACACTGTGCAGCTCAGCCACTAGTCAACCAATGACACTGTGCGGCTCAGCCATCAGTCAACCAATGACACTGTGCAGCTCAGCCACTAGTTAACCAATGACACTGTACAGCTCAGCCATCAGTCAACCAATGACGCTGTGCAGCTCAGCCATCAGTCAACCAATGACACTGTGCAGCTCAGCCACTAGTTAACCAATGACACTGTACAGCTCAGCCATCAGTCAACCAATGACACTGTGCAGCTCAGGCACTAGTCAACCAATGACAACAATATGCAGCTCAGCCACTGGTCAAAAAATTAAGCTGTGCAAGTCAGCCACCAGTCAACCAATGACTGTGCAGCTCAGCCACCAGTCAACCAATGACGCTGTGCAGCTCAGCCACCAGTCAACCAATGACGCTGTGTGAAGTGCACAGTGGCACTGGATTCTAGGACATAATTTTTTTACCTTGACATAAACAGTATACTTTAAGTTTTTGCAGGGTAGAGGAATCAGCTGTAATAGTTACCTTATTCCTCACTCCAGCAGACTTTGCCACTCCATGCTTCTCTCCGATGCTCAGGTTGTGGGCGAGCCTTCGTCGTCCTCCCATACAATGCAGCAATATTGGTCTGAATAGGTTTTCATAATGGTCTCCTGTAATCCCCTGTACAGCAGCACTCACACCAGGAAAGTATGAGGCAGCCCTGTGATCAGATTTCTTAGTTCATGGCTCGGGCATGATTTAGTGTCACGCATGATTGAGCCTCTCTAATATGTGCCAAATTTAGAATATAAACCCCTGGGGGATGTGTCTGCATAGTAGTGTATTCTTTATGGGAGTCAGGGAGTTTATGTTCCCATAGTCAGCTTATCTTCCTGAGATATTTATAACGGGGAAATTGCAACATTTCCTGCATTCCCTATCCTCTTACAGGACATTTTATTTCTAGTAATCTCTTGTGTTTACACAGCCTGGGCTGCTAAAAAAAAGAAGAATGACATGTTGGCTTGACCACATACGAACAGGATTATTTAAGTGAACCTGTCACTTTGCCCATTCAAGGCAAATGCCCTGAATGCCTACCCCTCACCCACTGATAGTCACCTTTCTCGCACTCCCTCACTGCTCCATAAGTCTATTAGAGCCGTGGGCCCGTGTAAGCTCCATGTCGGTCTGTATTGGTGTCTGGCCGCTCAGGCCTATGCATTGCATCCTGGAAGTAAAGGGAGATAGTCAGATGGTCCCCCATACTCAGAAGTACTGCATATTTTGGAGGGCACTGACAGAAGAACAGAGCAGTTGTGTAGAAGGTATCAGTGAGTAGAGGGGAGAACTTTCAAGAGAACCTGTCAATTTGCTCCATTAGTTCAGATTCTCTCTTAATAACACAACTATCCTACTCCCCCCCCCCATGCCAAGGTGCTAGGTGTCATCCTTGACTCTGACCTCACCTTTCTGCCGTACATCCAATCACTATCCAAATCCTGCCGCCTTCACCTTCGTAACATCTCCAAAATACGCCCCATCCTCACCAATGAAACCAGAAAGATACTTATCCTCTCACTTGATATTGCTCGTCATGACTATTGCAACTCCCTCCTCATTGACCTACCTCTACACAGGCTATCCCCTAGACCTCCTGCTTTGTAGCTCCCATGCTCGCCTCCAGGACTTCTCTAGAGTCTCTTACATTCTTTGGAACGCCCTACCCCAACCTGTCCATCTATCTCCAACTCTGTCTGTCTTTAGGCAATCCCTAAAGACTCATCTCTTCAGGGAAGTCTATCCCTCCTTAACCTAACCACTGAACGATCACTTTCTCAAACAGTTCATCTCCACACAGCTATCACCTCTTGTATCACTTGTCCCTCATTTTAGATTGTAAGCTCCCACGGGCAGGGCCCTCCTTACCATCTTGCCTTGATTTGTATTGCAACTGTAATGTCTCCCTTATTTTGTAAGGTGCTGCACTGTTGACACTATATAAATCCTGAATAATAATAATAACACAGATTGCAGAAAGACATAAGATTCAGAATCTATTTGATTGCTGTAACTGCACTCTGTATCCCATCACTGCTCTCATTTTATATGCTTGTATGAGATGACACTGGCTCTAGTGTCGTCTGCAGTAATCACTCACCCGTGGGCAGGGCTGTCTTTAATGTGGGGCAAAAGGGTCAGTTGCCCTGGACCCAGTCATTTCTGTGGCGCCAAAAGCAGCTGCCCCTTGAGCCCACAAAAGATACACATGCGACACCATTCTGTTTACTATTCGATCAGCATCACATAGTGTTGCTCTGCCCCTGCCATATGCCGTAAGCGTGGCATCTCATGCAGGGTCAGGTCTCAAGTGGGGTCATGTCTCCTTGCTCTGCAGGGGGAGGACATTGCGCAAGATTGCATTGCGGGTGTGGCGTGTAGGGGGTGTGGTGTAGAGGGGCATGGCTGTGGGGGCAGGAGGCGGGGCATGGCTGGCAGGGGTGGGGGGCCAAGAAAATGTTTGTCCAGGGTCCAATCAATATTGAAGATGGCCCTGCCCGTGGGTTAAAAGAGAAGCTGTAAGCAATGGAAAGTCAGCATCATAGGCATTACTAGACTCTGTCACCAGAGGCAGGCGCCCCAGTTCTCATATTTGGTGCCCTGGGTCTAGCGAGAGTCAGAATTAGCTCAGTCAGCAGGACAGCCAGGCAATTTTCATTTTCAGGAGGAGGTTAGGAATGGCAATTATTTGCAATAGCCAATAGTAAACTAGCATTGTACCCACCCTCTGCTGCAGTTCCCATCAGGTCCATCAGCAGAGGGCGGGAACAATGCTAGTTTAATATTGGCTATTGCAAATTGAAATAGCCAATAGTAATATAATAATATTAATAATATTCATAGGTTGGGCTTGATGGACTAATGTCTTTATTCAACCTCAAATACTATGTAACTATGTAATATAATAGAAGTTCACTTCAGATCGGTCATTCACTCGGCTGCCCTCGGCAGCTTAGTGAATAGACCCCAATGTATTTTTTTCAGCACGCTTACTTTAATCACTTTAATATACGTTTTGTTCTGATAGGCCAGATAATTCAGCGTTATTGATTTACCAATATTAATAACATTTCCCAATTACTTTTTCACTACTTATGATATTAACGTAAAACCTTTATTATGTTTTGGTGGTATTGACGTCCAGGAATTCTTTTAATTGCTATGAATTTTACAGGCAAATAGAGAAAAAAGAAAGTAAAATAAATGACAACTAGATAAGCTTGATATAAATAATGTCATCAATATATGTTAATATTTTATCAACCTTTTGAATAAAATATTTAGATATACAACAGAGGCAGCTGTATTTGCTCTTTACAGGTGTAATCTTCCCGGCCTGGATTGCATTTGGTGGAACCCTCCAACAACTCCTCACCTCTTCTTCCTCCACCCATTGAGGTTGATTGATAGTTCCTCCTTGTGTCATGACTACAGTGCGTTATGCAGAGAACAGCTCTTCCCTCTGTCACGTGACTTCATCACGTTACCATCTTCAGACTCATTTAAAACAGGAAGAGACCAGCAAGATCATTTGATTTTATGACACTTTAAAGGGAAATCCACTTTTTGAGAAAAACATATTAAATATACACTTCTTCATAAAAGAAAAAAATGTGCATTTATTTTGCATTGGAGGCAGAAAAACATTGTGATCAGTAGATTGCAGGTACAATGCTCTGGGTCCTGCAGGTTTTTCCTCCCGTCCACGGTCATCCTGAATGGACATTCAGCAATATGGACGGGAGGAAGAATGAATGGACTACAAGTGCGTGACATCAAAATTAAAAAGTCTGGGACTGAGGACATAAATATTACACACATGCACATAAGTGTTTAAAGGGTTATTAAACCCTCAGGTTTTTTTGCATAT